AACCCAAGCCATTCTATGATTCTATGAAATACACTGTTGTGTTAAAATACATACATATTTTTTAATTGAAAAGTAAGTATTGCCATATGATTTGGTAATCATTGTGAAAATCTGTAGCCAAAACTCCTGTGAGGCTAAAAATTTAGTAAGCTACATATCGTGCTGGGGCAGACAGAAAGAATTAAATAGTGGTATCTATATTCTTTGAATCCATGCAGGGAGCAGGAGAATGAAGATGCAATGTACATGTGTTACAGGTGTTTTTAAAAAATGGTTTTAGGAATCATCTGTCTTGAACAACTCCTAGTTTTTAGGGAATTCTCAAGTATTAATGCTTCTGTTGATCATTTGGTTTTAGCAAAAGGAGTGCTAAAACTGCTAAAAAGGCTGCAGAGGTTCCAGAGAAGGACCACAATGATGATCCAAGGACTGGGAAGCCTGTCCTATGAGGAGGGGCTGAGAGAACTGGGTTTGTTCAGGCTTGAGAGACGAAGGCTCAGGGGAGACCGTATCACCATGTTTTGGTAAAAGGTGGCTACAAAAAAGATGGAGACTCCCTTTTTACAAGGAGTCATATGGAAAAGAGGAGAGGGAATGGGCACAAGTTACTACTGGGAACATTCTGACTGGACACAGGAGGAAAAATTTTCACAATGAGAACAATCGATCTGTTGGAATAATCTCCCCAGGGAAGTGATGGATTCCCTGACACTGGACACTTTTAAGATTTGGCTGACAGTTTGTTGGGACAACTAGTCTAGATCATACTTTGCATAGAAAGGTTGGACCAGATGATCCTTGAGACCTCTTCCAACCTGGTATTCTGTGATTCTGTGAATCATTGTTCTTTGCTGTAGACCTCATGAAGCTGACTTGAGGAAGCTTCCTTTTGTCTGTGTTGTAGAAAGGGACAGGCCACCTCTTGCAGTCAGATTTTATTTTTTTTTTTTTATTCCATTTTTCAGCACTTTAAAAAAAAATTAGTTATTTTTTTTCCCCAGCAAAATTGAATTTTGCTGAAACCACTTGTGAATTCAGAGTTGCAATTTCCCAAAGCTCTGCACAGTCCCAGACCAGAGCACGCAACTCACTGAGGGCTTGTGTATCTGAATAGAACACTTAATTACTTTATCATCTAGCGCTTTTAAACTACCTAAGCTGTTAATAGAGGATTTTAGTGCTTGATGAAACGGAGTCTAGAAGTCTAGAAAGCTGAAGGAACTCGAATACTGTGACAAGCTTTAAAGAATAAGAAGCCAACTGGCTGATCAGATATGATACCAGGTATTATATGTTAGGCATTAAGGTACTGTAGGTGATTCCCTGTCTGGCTCTGTACCTCTTGCATTAGACTGTTGCTTAAGGGTAAGATAGTGTTGATGTGATACTCCATGTATGGAATTTACTGCACACAGATTTACAGTTCTGGTGTTTCCAAAATAAGAAGGACATGGAGCAAGTCCAGAGGAGGACCACGAGGAGGATGAGGGGGCTGGAGCAGCTTCTGTATGAAGACAGGCTGAGAAAGTTGGGGCTGTTCAGCCTGGAGAAGAGAAGGCTGCGTGGAGACCTCATAGCAGCCTTCCAATATCTGAAGGGGGCCTACAAGGATGCTGGGGAGGGACTCTTCATCAGGGACTGTAGTGGTAGGACAAGGGATAATGGCTTCAAATTTAAACAAGGGAAGTTCAGATTAGATATAATGAAGAAGTTTTTCACAGTGAGGGTGGTGAGGCACTGGAACAGGTTGCCAGAAAAAGTGGTGAATGCTTCATCCCTCGCAGTGTTCAAGGCCAGGCTGGACAGGGCCTTGAGCAACCTGGTCGAGTGGGAGGTGTCCCTGGTCATGGCAGGGGGTTTGGAACTAGATGATCTTTAATGTCCTTTCCAACCCAAACCATTCCATGATTCCATGATTTACTAGAAATCTAGAATAATACAGGATCAATCCAGTGCAGATTGGATGGTTTGAAAGCTTGCTATTTAGCAAATCTATCATATAAAAATACTCTTGATGGAAAGTGTATATGATCCAGGTGTTCTGTCAGGGATCTAAAAAGAAAAACAAAGGAAAATACACATTGCCTTTGCAATCCATGTCATGTCTGTTCAGTTAAAATGCTTTGGGTTTAGTGTAAATCCTCAAAGATCCAGTGCCGTATCAGATACAGCAAGTGAATAAGAGAAAAGAGATTGTGGCAACTTTAATTATGTTCAATCTGTGAAGCGTCCCCACCCTCCATGCTTAAGCTGCATACCTTGAAGCACCTACACCAGGAAAAAGGTTTTTCAATGGTAGAATATCCTGTGTAATAGGAGACAGTGGGTATGACTAAGCCTGGGAAATGGACACTTAAAAGTGATGCATTCAACTTGAAAATATAATGCACCCTCTTAATTATTTATTAGAACAACTGTCCTGGAATTGTAGAATATTTTCCATCAATTGAAATTGTTAAGGTGTTATAACTTTCTAGTATGTGTCATGTGGTTCAAATAAACATACGACTTCATGCACTAGATTTGTCCCCTCTTGTGCAAGAGGTTAGACTAAATCCTTTTAATACTCCTTTCTTGTTTTAATCAATGAACCTGTAAATAATGCAAGTGACCCTTGCAGTACAGTTGAAATTTTTTGCACTAGGCAGTTTATTCCTCTCGGTAAATTGATGCCTCTCACCTTGAGGAGTAGGAGGTGGAATAATCCTGCCTTGGTTTCTTGATGTGTGCTGTTGGCTGAGCACATACTAGCATCACTGTCAGCACCTGTACTATTAAAAATGGTTTTGTTTAGTGTCTGAGAAACATAACATCCCTCACTATTCAGATCTGTTAATCAGAATGGCCTAGAGAATTATGGAGATGCCAGTATGCTCCACATCAAGGAATGCAGTATGGAGACAGCTTGACAATTTGAAGGAAGTATAACGTTAAAATGTTGGGTTTTTTCACTGGTGCTACGACATAGTTGTTTTAGGAAACTGAAAATCTTAATTGACTTCAGTCAAGTTAAAGGCAACTTTAAAAACAGATAAATCTCCAGCCTGTCCTCAAGGGCTCCAGCTGTCCAGTGTCTGATCCTAAAAAAGTTTTTTTTGAGACGTAGACTGAAAAATTTCTTTACTGACTCAGGGTGAGGAGACCTGGAAATATGTAGATGTGAGACATTATTTTACAACTATATTTATGTTGTGTTATTTGGACTGTTATATTTTGGTTTGAGGAGAGGTCAGTCCTTATAATACCTTGTTTCAATTCCTCCAGCTCTTTTTCCTCATTGTTTTAACGCTTACTTTATTTTATACCCCTCTTGGAAGCTTATTCTCAGCCAGTGGATAACCATATCACTCCATCTGCCTACCTGGGACAGTCTCTGCCCCCAGCATCACCAGGGCGATATTCACCAGTTCCCAAGGGAATGCTTGGAGATGATGAGATTACCAGGTAATGAATAAACAAAGTTACATGTCAAATTAATTTACTTTGGAAACTTGTAAGACCTGTTGGTTGGCAAAATACTTATGAATATTATATTTCAAGAAATAAGTGTTAGTTTCTTAACACTTGTAAATGTTCTTGTAAGGAGAAAACTAGATATATTTTTCTGTGTATATGCATACACATGATTTATCGATCTAGGAATAATATTAATATCAGAATGCTCTACCAAAGTGCTCTGTGAGTTGACCGAGGTTTTCAGGATGGTAGTATGAGCAGACTAGAGGTTATTTCTTATTTTAAAGCCAGCAATGGTTTTTTTCTCTTGTACCCCCACCCCCAGTTGTTTGGATGGATTACTAAATCCAGAAAGGCTAGAGAGATTTTAATCTTTTCCCATTAACAGACCCATTCATTCCTTCACTGATTTAGTAGATTTCATTAATCCTTTGTTCATCATCCCTGATAAAGAAAAGTTCTTCTGTTACCCGTCTGTTCTGCAAGTATAGGATGCTACACTGCATTTTCAGTATGTTGTTACCGAATTCTGTGTCACACTGTCATCTGATATGGATAATGTCACATGATTTCTGAGGCAGGCTCTACCCAGGATTGAAACCTAAGTGTATGAGCTGGAGAATGAATTTTAGTATATTGGAAGGCAGGATATGTCTGTAGTTATTTTTAGGATTAGGTGGACATATAAACCAAGGTGATTCTGTCCTGCTGACAGCATTGCTGAACTTAGGTTTTATAGCTTTTGCTTTAACTTACTGTAAGAGGAAACGCAAGAGCTATTCAGAGAAGGCTTTAGGTGATTTTCTTTAAGTTGCCCTTCCCACTTCCACCCCCTCCATCCTCAAGAGGGTTAAAAATTTTGAGTAATATTTTAAAAGATACAGCATATTTATGTTCTCCAGCTGCAGCATTTTTATGAATGTGTTAGTGTGATCCAGAGAAATATACATAAGTTTTCAGTGTTGTTTATAAGAATTTGACACTAAGTTGATTTAAGAGGTAGTGCATAAATGGAGTGATTTTTAAAGATCGGGTTAGGTGATTCTTGGTTTGGAAAAACGCAGCTACTAATTTATCCTATAAATTAATAATTAATGTCTCCAAATACTTAAGAATGTCCATGAATTGTTCTTTAGTGCTCTCTAGTGATTTTTCAAATGCAGTGCACAGTTACTCTGCCTTATTATTATTATTATCTGTTTCTGAAATCATTTATGCTTTTCTTATATTGGGTCAAATAGCAGATTAGTAGATTTTTGGAAGGAGTGTTTCTGCATTAGAAGTTGACTGGCCTTATCTTAACTGAAGAAATCAGTATTTCTTCTTTTCTCTCCTCATCCTAGTCAGAAGGGGATCCTATAAAAAGAATGCTACACTTTGGTTTAGATTTAACTTTCAGTTGCAGTTTCTGCAAATAAATTGCAAATGTATTTCAGAATGCCATAAATTCTGATTTACTTTTTTTTAAATCATCCCTGCCCCCGCCCCCCCCAAGGGCTTATGCATACTTCTTGAATTGTTCTTTGCTATTTATTGCTTGACCAGCTGGACTCAAATTAAAGCAGTAAAGACATATTTCATTATTGGTGTTTCTGTTAGAATTTCTTCTTTGAGTTACAGGAAAGGGAAAATAGTATTTTGTTGCATGCTATTACCATTAGAGGAAGACTGTGAGATATTTGTGACTGTGAGCTATGATTGTAACATAATAGGAATTTAGACTACATACATAGTTATGGGTTGTTCAGTTCACATAACAACAGGGAAGGGGTTTGTGTTGTGTCTGGAAACAGAATTGAAAGCAGACAAGTAATAGAACCTATTATTTGAAAGTCTAAGCTTTGGCGGGCAGGACTGGGAAAGGCGGGGATGGACACATGACATGGTTGCCTTAAGAAATAATACCTAATTTGATACCTAAATTTTCAAAACTACTTCTCTCAAAAAACTTATCTTTTCTAATTGTTTATTTTACTTTTATTCATGCCTAATGACCAAGTTTTCATATTCCTTTCTTTCATTCAGGGAGCCTAGAAAGGTTGTCCTGCATCGAGGATCAACAGGTCTTGGTTTCAACATTGTTGGAGGAGAAGACGGAGAAGGAATTTTCATCTCTTTCATCCTTGCAGGAGGGCCAGCTGACCTGAGTGGAGAGCTTAGGAAAGGAGATCGTATCATTTCTGTAGGATTCCTTACTTCTTTTATTTAAACAACAAAAGTTTTCCCCTCCCTGGTTATTAATGCCATTTAATTATTTATATTCAAAGAATACCATTAACTGAGCTAAATTTGAGACAGTGGAACAGAGCCAATGTACTTCTAAAGTATCTGAGGACTTTAGACTGCCTCAGTTTCACATCCGTAACCTGATTAAAATAGCATTTTTGTAGATACTCAGTGATGCTATTCAGTGAAGACATTAACGTATCTTGGTCTGGCAGCTGAGGGAAGGGTGCGTGTGTCGAAATAATGTAGGCTTCAGAAATAAGCCTTCTACTGAGATGGAGACACTTTGCAGTAGCGTCTAAAATTGGGTGCTTTACTTCTTGGAGTAACTGCCAAACTTCCCGTTAGTCTTAAGTAGATCCATCTCATACCTGCCTAAGGGCTTTTTCTGTATTAATACTGAAGTTTGTAAAGATTTTGCCTGTGTTTGTGAAATTACTTAATATGTGGAGAATAATTTCTCTGGACAACTGCATTGTAATTTCGTAGTTATTTAGGAGGATTTTTTTCCTCTTAAATTTTGGCTCAGCTGTTACTAAAATGTTGATATTAAAGTGCATCTTTATTTTAGTTTGAACTATGAAAAATGCTTTTGGTCTAAAGTGTGACACACATTTCTGCTTCAGTTTTTTCTGACATTGTTTTTAAATGTGCTGCATTGAAAACAAGGCTAAACTTCCCCACCGTGGAGGGTGTGGCCCGTCACTGGATGTTAAGCACAAGTCTGTAGGCATACTTTTTGGCTAAGGAGATTACCGAAGCCCTATTGTTCATCTCACATTTCTGCCATCACGAAAAGTAACATTTGCTGCGTCTCCTTTAAAAGAAAGAGAATGGTCTTAAACAAGAAGAAAATTGACCTAGCAAATACAAACGCATTGTTATATACTATGACAGTTACAGTATTTCTTAACAGAAGGGTATAGGTGAGAGCATATTTATTGACTTTGCATTTCAGTAAGGATCAGTAATATTGGAAGCAGGGAAAACTTGCATGACATGAAACTAGTTTGCATCCAGGTTTGGTTTTGGTTTTTGGTTTGTTTTTTTTTTTTTTCAATGAGTCTGTTCTGTGATGATAAACAGAGCTTGAGCTTTTTTGTGTTACTTGTAGGTAAATGGAGTAGATCTAAAAGCAGCAACACATGAACAGGCAGCAGCAGCCCTGAAGAATGCAGGCCAAGCAGTAACTATTGTAGCTCAGTACCGTCCAGAAGGTAAGTGTGGTCTTATGTTCAAGTTCACTTCTGCAATTTGAAACTCGAAAGATAATCTATCTAAAAGATAAACTGTCCTCTCACCCTAGCTAAAGCCTCTTTTGAGGAAAGGAGAAACAAATAATGCAAGAGATGGACACATACTTGTTAGCATAATTGCAGGCAACCAGATAGGAACATGTGCAAGTGTTAGTGCAACAGGATGATACATTTGTTGCTCTAATCATGTTCAGAATTTTGATTTCTTCAATAAATGTTAGCACTGTCATAACGTGAAAGTTAGGCCAGTAAATCCAGAATTTAGTAGGAACACCACGTTGTTACTTTTGTATTTCACAATTGCCTTCACTCTTTAATATGGTGGTTTCATTTTCCTTAGTGATAGAAGGGTAAAAGACTAACTCCTTCTCTGTTGAGTTGAATTAGATGACCTAAGAAGACCATCAGGTTTTCATTCATCTGTTTAATACTGAGCTCGTATTTCTGTTTATCCAGCAATTTCTTCTGGTCCAGATTAGACTGCAGCTGATACTGATTAACCATACTTGTGTGTTCTGCAGAAGCTAAGTAATACTACATCATCACAATACACATTTGTTCTCTGGTGTATATTTCAAATGCCTTTGTCTATTCGAGGCTTTAAAAATTCAATAGTCTGAAACCATATACTCACCTTGAGTCTGTAAACCTATAAATTATTGTTTATATATATAATAAGACATTTTTGATGTCTTATTATGAACTGTGATGATCAACAGCTTCACTGATTTTTGCTAAAATGAATGGCCCATCACTAAATCTTTCTTGCAATGATGTGTCTGCTTACACCTTTCATTTAAAAGTACTGGCAAGGAGTAGGTGTAAGTGTTTATCAGGATTGGACACTGAGCAGGTCTGTTGCCTTCATCTGCAACTGTTAGGTAGCTGACTGCAGCACACTTCATTCTTTATTTCTTCTCATCTGTTTCTTCTGTCCTGCCTTCCTCAAGTCTTTGATGGTTTCTGTTCTTTCTGCATTGGAAATAACAGCTTTCTTTGTTACCACTTGTCCAAGTAGATAACTTCTTTTCTTAAAACATGTATTGAGGTGCTTGACTTACTGATGAGATTTTGAGTCATTGCACAGAGTTTTGCCCAGAGCAACATACGCTGCCTCTTAGCAATTTCTCAATGACTGTCATTTATAGACTTCAAACCTAGAGCTGTACTCATCCCTTCATGATTACTGAAGCATTCAGAACAAGACTGTATGCATTTGAGCTGTATTGGGAATGCAGTTCTCAATGAATTATAGGGCCCATTTGAGAGGAGGCATGAGGGAGATGTTACTTGAACTATCCTAGATTATGGGCAGACATCTGACATGTTAAAGAAAGGATTTTTTTTTTTTTTTTTTTTTTTTTTTTTTTTTTTTTTTTTAGATGCTTGGTCTGCATGACTGTCTGAAATAGTGCTTCAAATCTCCATTCACAGATGTTGAAAGCATGTTACGGCTTACTCTACCCTTTAGAAGTATGCTGTGAAGCAAAAGTGTAACTAGAAGATGGAGACTCATTCTAGTTTGGAGGCAAATTATGAATTGACACATGGCCAACCTGCCTCAGAGAGCTCTAGTTACTGATACCTGACTTTGAGATCTCTGCTAGCCTTCTTCTTACTCCGTGTGAAAAGAAGATGAATGGAACTCCAGCTTCAACCTTCTTTTAAGACAACAAGAAAGCTGGAGAGGGACTTTTTACAAAGGCATGTAGGGATAGGACAAGGGGAATGCCTTTAAACAGAAAAAGGGGAGATTTAGGTTAGATATCAGGAAGAAGTTCTTCATCGTGAAGGTGGTAAGGCATTGGAACAGGTTGCCCAGGAAAGTTGTGGATGCCCCATCTCAGGAAGTGTTCAAGGCCGGGTTGGACAGGGCTTTGAGCAATCTGGTCTAGTGGAAGGTGTCCTGGTCTGTGGCAGAGGGGTTGGAACGGGATTATCTTTAAGGTTCCTTCCAACCCAAACCATTCTGTGATTCTGTGTGCTTGAGTGTACTTCTTAGAAGTGCACATGCTTTCTGATCATCTTCATATTTTCTAAATTATAGGTGCATGTGGTCTTTTTTTCCTCTCACTTGAATCATTTAAATTGGGAAATTGTACACACACACATATATATAAAATTATCTCCACTTTCTGTTTATAGTGTTCAAAAAAACATAAGTATTAAAATGAAGAGTTCATAACATCATTGTTCATCATTGGTGTTTCACAAGTGTCTCTGTAAAGGTAAATAGCATCAGTTACAACTGCTTGTATTGTGCATACAATATTTTATTTATATTTATAAATCCATCAGGATTTTGTAACAGATGCTGACAGCTAGGACAGACCAAGGAGATTCTAGACATCCATCAGAGTACATTATAACCATGTAAATAGATTCAGTATGATAGGAGCATTTGGAAGACACTTGGGACCAACTCACTTCACTCCCTCTGATTGTATATGATGGTTTGTATGTTCATGGATGTGGTGGGGAATGCTAATTTATGTTTTCATATCCCACCACATTAGCTCTGTCAGAAATTACTCATTTGTCTTTCTCCTCAGATTTTGTGGAAAAGAGGATTTTTGCAAGCAGTTCTTGCATAGAAAAGTCTGAGTAGGCTGTAGAAAAGTTAATCTTGGCAAAACTGTCATTATGGAAAGGGTTGAATTTTCCATATCTATCTCTTAAAACCCATAGTTTATGAAGCACTAGTTACTGGATTTGGGATAAGCTAATATGGCTGAATGATACTGCTTTTATTATATCCCAGCTCAAATTACATAACTGCTGACTTTTTCCCTTAAGCCTCAAAAATGTTCCTTAGTTTCAGAACTGGGTGAAAACAGACGTAATCTCATTTCTAAAAATACCCATCTGGGCATTCATTTAGTTTCCAACAGTGTTCAGTAAATTTGAGAGATGTCCTACAAAATTTTCCTACTGTACTGAATCAAATTACAGCAACTTACCAGTACCCTTTCGAATAGCTAAAAGCCAACTAGGGAATGTGAAGGTATTCTCCTGTTTACAGAAGTGACTCATGCATCAGGTATCATTTTGGTACAGTGGTACCACAACTGTAGTCAACTGTGACTGCGCTTTCTCCGTGTAGAGTCCGTGCTTTATCTTGTAGCTTACCTAGGAAGTACTTTATAAACTGTTCAGTCACCAATTGGGTTGTACTTTTACATCCTTTTATATTACATACACGTACACGTGTGTGTATACAAAGTCTCCCTAGTTGCACAGACCAGTGGGTTTGAACCTGCTGGGGCTGGATGCTGCAGAAGAGGGTTCTGTGGTATGTGAAGAGCAGAAGTTTGGGAAGCAGGAATTATTCTGTAGAAGTGTAGTGGGGAAGGCGGGATGTTTTTCTCATTTTCTTCTTCATTTGGAAGCTTTTCCTTATTCCCCCACTTGTACTACAAATTTCTATATCCTTTCAAGACAACATCTATTAATAAAACCAGATTTTGCTTTACTATGAGTTCCACTGGAAATGAAGTACCATGACCTGCAGCAGTTTTATAGAAAGTAATGTTGCTTTAGTACACAAAAGTATTTTGATGAGCCATATTCATTTGTAGAATTTTCTGACCCATTTCATTTTCTGGTTGCATAGACGCCTCAGTGCCATGCTGCTGTCTTCCTTTGAATTTTCTACAGGTGTAGAGTAGCAAGGAAAATTTGTGTATGAGTGTGGAAGAATGAGAGGAAGCTCTAGGCAATTTGGATATATGTGCATCTCCTGGGAGTGGGGATTTGGAGATGGTTAGAATTATGATCTTGCTACACAGCAGAGTTAGAGGAACGTGGGGAGTTATCAGTGCTTGAAGAGACTGTAGTGACGAGAGAAGCAGCAAGGGGGAAGTACAGGACTATAGAGAGGTGTACAGCACTTACGAGGGCCCTCCATTTCACATTGACATTTCCATTGCTATGTGAACTCAGGTTATCTGAAACATTCTTCTGTGTTTTGAGGATGACATAGTAAGATTGTTACCTCAAAATTCAGCATTTCTTGGAAGTTAGGTCTTGCTGTTCTGAAAAGGTATGTGGTGTCAGTAGGTTGCATAACTGTATTATAGCTTGAGTGCATTTAGGAGTTTAAAAATAAGAAAAATAGCCAAATAAATACATTATAAATACAAAAACATACTGGGTTGAGTTTGGATAGAAAATAATTTTGTGGATTGAACATTTTTTTCCCCTGTACTTATATTCTACAAGATCAGAACGGTGCAATTGATGTGTTTGTAATTGCAGTTAATGTTATAATTAATTGTGACACCTGCTTTTGGAGGGGCTTGAAAAATTAAGCGGACAGTGTGTAATGGCATCAGCAGCCATTCGCTGGTCACCAGACCCTTCCCCTAAAGCAGGGGCAAAATTCAGAAATGGGTAGCAGCACTCTTTTTCTCAAGGACCCACTCGGTATATGAAAAATAAAATAATAATTTTAACTAGTGCAGCAGTCTCTTTTCCTGTGAGTTGTCAGCTGCCTGTTATTTAGAGTGTAGAATCTGCATTGATATTCTCTTTGTCATTTAGCTTAAATCCATCTCTATGTATCCATTTCATTTCTAAAAGATTAGCAAAACCATTAAGTGATGAGATTAGCTCCAAGTTCTTAGGTGATTGGGTGGATCAGTGTGAATCTCTCCAAGAGAAGATTTCAAGGTATTTTTGGTAAAACTTCTGTTTCTGAACTTGCATTGTTCATATAGGTAGTTAACACACATTTTTCTTTCAGTTTTAATAAAGGAAATAAGGGTTTTCTGTTGCAAAATGTATTCAAGATTTATAGGTGAATCAAAACTACTCATACGTTGTTAGCCAGATTTTTTTAGGTGGATTTTCACATATTTTTTGTTTTGAAGAAATGTATCCATCTACTGAAAATAAGATCCAAGTATGACAACTTTGAATATTTTTTTTTTCTCCCTTGTCTTTAAAACAAGCATGTCAAA